GTCGACCGCTTTGTGTACAGGAGGAAATATTAACGGTGCCCTGCATTTTTATTCTTGAGGCAGTGTCTCTTGATTTATAAAAAGTTTTCTGGTTTTGTACAAGACAGGAAGAACTACATTTTAAGTTAAGGCAGGCCGCACATCAAAGAAATATGAAACGCGAAACATGATCAAGACCCTTCTGCTTATCGCCCTATTTCTCTACTGACCACCCTTTCAAAAATAATAGAGAAAATCATGAAAAAAAGGCTTGTTAACTACTTAAACGATAACAACATTCTGTCATCAAATCAGTTCGGATTTCAGGAAAGCAAGGGCACAAACGAACCAGTATTTTCTCTACTCGAAACGCTTTTCTTTAGCTTGAATGATGGCGAGAGGGCTGCGGCAGTGTTTTGTGACTTCTCAAAGGCATTTGATTGCGTAAGTCACGACATACTGCTGCGGAAGTTGAGTCATTATGGCGTCCGGGGGAAGGAGCTAAACTGGACGACTGGACCTCGCCTCGCTGTCAATATTGGGAGTTTTTGTGATGTTTGCAGATGATACGACCATTCTCTGGGGACATAAGGATTCGCAAGTTCTTTCAACCATTATAGAGCGTGATTTGGCATTAATAAAGGAATGGTGCGATGCAAACCTTCTAGTCTTTAAAACTAATATTTTAATGTTTAAATGTTCATTGGACGGTATCACTCTTGATGGAGACACTATTAGGGGAAAAAATGTTGTAAGGTTTCTTGGAATGCACGTAGATTTGAGGTTAAGATTTGAAACACATATCGAAATGCTTAATAGAAAACTATCACAGGGATGCTACATGGTTAAAACATATTGCAAGAGCTCGGAAAATACACCGCCAAAACTGCATATTACGCCTTGATGGAGTCACATGTTAGATATGGAATCGCATTCTGGGGATTCTCAACTCAGACATCCGTTCAGTCAGTCTTACAGCAAACAGCCCTCAGAACTTTATGCAATGCAGCTTACCAACAAACTTTTAAACCCCTCTTTGCTCGGGAACGGATCTTGACAGTGCCATCAATTTTCATTCTGGAGACGGCCTGCTTGATTTTCAAGAAGTTTCAGAACTATGATAGGGTTGAGAGCTATAGTTTAAGAAACAACAGCAATTTCCCCCTGCCAGTCCTGAAATCTGCATTGGTGAAACATTCAATAGTTTATGACGGAATCAAAATTTTTAATCATCTGCCAAGGGAACTAAAAAACAGTGAACAGTACAAACTCTTTTGAAAAAAACTTAAGCAATCCTAATTGAAAAAGCTTATTATAGCCTGGGAGAGTTTTATGAATGACAGCGTTTTGTTTATGATTACTGCAAAATTTATTTGTAGCTATTATATTATTTAAGAGTTTCATAAGACGGATTATGCTACTATATTTTAAAGTTTTTATTTATTGTATTTAATCTTTTTTTTTATTTGCTTGTGTGATTTCCCATTTTGAATTTGTTGTTTGTCATTTCGAATTTGTTCGTTATTTTAATCTTGGAATGCTTATGTAATGTGGTGTCTTGGTTTTTGCCTATATTGAAATGTTGTTTACAGCCTGAATATTTTAAACATTTTCAATAATACTTATGATATGCCTAGTAAACAAGTTTGCTGAAGGCTTCTTTCATGACTAGTGTTATTTTAGACGGAACTTTTTTTTAAATTTTATTAACTGCCTTACAATCCATACAATAATGTACTTTTTACCTGTTAGGCAACATTTTGCCAGGCTTTTTGTTGTGATTGTCTATTCAAGTACTTCTCCATGTTATAATTAAACAATTCTTCATAATTCATCAAAATGTATTTATGACCAAAATCGTGAAACTGAAACAGAAAAATAGAACGCGATCTATTTCATGAAACACGTTTCACGCAGTGGCGGCTCGTGGTATAACATATTGGGGGTGCACATAATTTGTAATTCATAATAAATGCCGGTTGCGTTTGTTTTGCTGGCGCATTTGGCCACTAATTTTTTAAATTAATACTTTACAGGTAGATTGTTAAAATTTGAAGAATGATAAAATTAAATTTAAAGTTGTTTGATATTAATTTGGGAGTGCACGTGCACATGTGCTCTTATGGAGGAACCGCCACTGGTTTCACGCAATAAAAATGTTTCACGCGCATGAATCACACTCGTTTCATTAGGGAGGCCGCACATCAAAGAAACATGAAACGTGAAACATGAAACATAAAACGTGAAACATAAAACGTGAAACTCGTTTCATGAAAATAGAACAAGGATAAACAAATACAAGTCCGTCCACCAATGAAACAAATTTGTTTCATGCGCGAGAAACATTTTTATTGCTTGAAACGTGTTTCATGAAATAGATCGTGTTCTATTTTTCTGTTTCAGTTTCACGGTTTTTGGTCATTAATACATTCATAAAAAAGTTAATTACGACCAAGAATTCAATATTGTGTTCATTTCAGTGGTAGAGCAAGATGGAGAATTGTATAAGTACCTATAACATGGAGACGTTCTCGAATAGATAATCACAAGAAAAAGCCTGCCAAAATGTTGTCTTAGAGGTAAAAAGTACATTATTATTGTATGGATGTACCCAGTAACGTCGTTTCCTTTATTCTTTTGGCTTTTTGACGATAATAGAAAAGTTGCCACAACAGCAGTTATTATTGCTCGTCAACACTTTCCATTTTGTGATACCCTCCATACCCCAAAAGACTTTGCAAACATTATTCTTGTTTCTTCAATTAGTATGCAAGAGAGAAACGGTTTCGCTTTTCGTAATTTATTGTTTCATGTTTTACGTTTCATGTTTGATGTTTCACGTTTCATGTTTCTTTGATGTGCGGCCTGCCTTAGTGGGCGGACTTCTTTTTTTGTTCGTCCCTATTCTATTTTCATGAAACGTGTTTCACGTTTTATGTTTCATGTTTCATGTTTCACGTTTCATGTTTCTTTGATGTGCGGCCTTCCTAGGCAAAACTTCCTACCGCTGCCAATACCAAGGCTCTCCCTTAGCCTTAGGCAGGCCGCACATCAAAGAAACATGAAACGTAAACATCAAACATGAAACAATAAATTACGAAAAGCGAAACCGTTTCTTTCTTGCATACTAATTGAAGAAACAAGAATAATGTTTGCAAAGTCTTTTGGTAGTGTAGTGGAGTATAGAGGGTAGCACACAATGGAAAGTGTTGACGAGCAACAACAACTGGTGTTGTGGCAACTTTTCTATTATCGTCAAAAAGCCAAAAAAATAAAGGAAACGACGTTACTGGCTACATCCATACAATAATGTACTTTCTACCTGTTAGGCAATATTTTGGCAGGCTTTTTCTTGTGATTGTCTATTCGAGTACTTCTCCATGTTATACTTATACAATTCTCCATCTCGCTCTACCACTGAAACGAACACAATATTGAATTCTTGGTCGTAATTAATTTTTTTATGAATGTATTTATGACCAAAAACCGTGAAACTGAAACGGAAAAATAGAACGCGATCTATTTCATGAAACACGTTTTAAGTAATAAAAATGTTTCTCGCGCATGAAACAAATTCGTTTCATTGGTGGGCGGACTTGCATTTGTTTGTTCTTGTTCTATTTTCATGAAGCAAGTTTCACGTTTTATGGTTCATGTTTCACGTTTCATATTTCTTTGATGTGCGGCCTCCCTTAGGGAAGCCGCACATCACTGTTTCTCTTCAACTAGAACCAACAATAGAACATAATTTTGTAAATGTTTGTGTACTACTCATTCTATAAAAATATTGAAATTTGCCGGGATGATTGTTTCATTCCTTTGCAACCAAAAATATGCTGTTTATGATTTATATTATTGTATGGGTGAACCCAGTAACCTCGTTTCTTTTTTTTTTTGCTTTTTGATAATAATAAAAGAGACGCCACAACAGCAACAACAACCTCGTCATCACTTTCCATTGTATGCTACACTCTATACTTGACACTTAACTACAAGAAACGACTTTGCAAATATAATTATTGTTTCTTTAATTAGTATGCAAGAAAGAAACGGTTTCGCTTTTCGTAATTTATTGTTTCATGTTTTATGTTTCATGTTCTATGTTTCACGTTTCATGTTTCTTTGATGTGCCACAATTACAAAAAAACTCAATAATTTATGAAAGTGTGGAAATGTTTAATTATCTACCTCAAGACATAAAAGATTAGGACTGCTATGAAAGCTGCCATATGTCTGTAAAAAACTATCTGGTCGCCAAGGCATATTATGGTCTAACTGAATTTTATGAAGATTGAATGTGGTAGTTATAGTGTTATACTTTATAAATAATATCAGTTAATGTAAATGTTGTACTGTGTTTTAAACTGTTAAAATGGTTCTTATCTTGTGTTTGTTCAGTTTGAATTAATTGGATATTACATTAATTTTAGGTAGTAACTATAAGACATTCCTAATTGCTTTGTCAATGAAATTGTGAAATTTTTGGGCAATAAAGCTTATTTGAAATTGAAATAATGTACTTTTCTATCAATATAACCAAAAGTATAACGGGTTTTGGGTTTTGGTAAGTGAAAAAAAAAAAAACAATCGAATACATCAAATCATTCACACTTTGGTAACAAATAGACTCACCGCACTTTTTTTGTCTTGTCTATTTTTGAATTTAAAAAAAAAAAGGTGAGCGAATTGAATAACACCTAGTATAATGAGAAACTTCCACAATAAATAATAAATATAGTACTTAATCAAAATGATAAAACTCCACTTCCATTGAACATGGATAACTTCGGACATAGTGGAAAAGCTCTATTTCCTAGTAACAGGCGGAATATTTTGTACCTAATACCATAATTAGGTAAATTTTCAGCTAAAACTAAATTGTTCAGAGCAAAAAATTTTCGTTGAAAAAATTAGAAATGTTTTTTTTTCTTCTAACAAAATGGCCGATGCAAGCCTTAATAATATACTATTTTTGGATAGTTCTGAGTCAAATGAGGTCATTCAAGGGACTATTTACTTACCGACGACCAACTATTGGACAAAAATGAGTTGTATTTTCCTATAAATCCTGGTTTCTTGTCTTCTAAAACGATATCATAGCAGCTATTGAGATCCAGAGGCTCTACCACGGAAGGCACAGCGTTCTATAAAAAAATGGTTCTTGTAAAGATGTCGAAAACACACATGGAAAGGGGTTGAATTATAGCATAACCTTGACCTAAATTTACAAAGGAAAGCCATTTTGACCTACTTTCATTAAAAAAAAATTATTGTACCTCAAACGCTCAAAAATTACACAATACTGTACCTTAAAATTATTCAGTCTTACCTTGAAATCCTTATCCTTGACGATGAGGGGTGATTTTCCTAAGCAATCATTAAACTTATCCACATCTTTTTTGCGTTTTCGGTAGAATTGGTAATTTTTTACCTAATTTAAAAAAAAAAACGAATAGAATAACACTAAAATATGACAATATGACGTCAGTTTCAAACCCAAATGTGACGATTAAAAAGGGAAAAATAGGACTGATGAGCCTCTGTTTTCCTAGCAAGAGAGAAAGGAGGTCGCGACTTTACCATGTTGCCAATTCGGACGCTCTCCAGGAATGAAAATCTATTCGAGGCCTGTCCCAAGGTAAACTTCATCCAGGAAATAGGGTTAAAGTTGGCAACGTTGCAAGGCCAGCCCTCACCCCAATCCGCAGAAATCAATATCCTCATGGAGGATTTTTTCAGCCTTGATCAAGAGGGCTGTTTTACATCCCCCCAATACTACCACATTCCAGGGAAATTTTTACAATAGTTGGCAACAGTGCGTTTTATTTATTTTTTTTTGCATAAGGCCCATTCCCTGGTTGCCAAGTTAGATACACTTGAATTATTATTGGAGTACAAAAAAATAAAATATTCTCCACAAAATTACTATTGCTATGAAAAGTTACCAACCACAACCTCTAGTGGACATGCAAAATCAGCAGATCTTGCTGCAGTAACATACCTATATGGAAAATTCAAGCAAAGTTCACTTTTGGTTCTGGTGTGCCTAGTTGCAGCATTACATAGAAAATTGAGCAACACTGATGTTCAGACCAAAGAAATCCCTAGACTTGGTTAAACTCTAGAGTCAGCAAAAGGTTGCCCAAGAGTATAGCTATACAAATTTAATTATAGGTACAAATTTTTTTCATTTTTTTTCAGACTGGTAAGAGAAACTAGAAAAATGTTGGATATGTTTTTAAAACATAAATAGATACTGCTAAAAACTGTTCTCTTTATTCTGTCAATTTGGAAGAAGCAATTCTTTAACACAAGCCTTCTTATAATATATAGGTACCTAAATAGGTTCAAATGATGACTTATTCAACTTATTAATATTTACCAATCTAAATTTCAGAGACTTTAATAAATTTATTAAGATCCTCAGAAAAATGTGGAGTAAGGTGTAAAAATTTAACATTAGCCCTTTTCAATGAGTCCTGTTTGAGATGATACTCAAAAGAAATAATTGTCATTAAGTTTCATCAAGAAGTTTTTGTTAATTGCTTTTGCTATAACGCTATGGTTACGATAGCATATGAATCGGGTACTCCGTACTCCCAAAAAAATTACAAAGAAACTGTCTCAGAGATACTGTTAAAGAAAACTTATATTTGGTGGCTCCTTGAAAATAAACTACCCACTTAACAAGAGCAACAACAAAAGGGCTTGAAGTGTGGGAAATTTAGGTCGGGAATCTGACAAAAACCGAGATTAAGTCACGCTCAGCCTTTTTGTGTGCAGAGTGCCACTTTCCTTCGTCATGTTTTAGGCGAACCTAATAATAAAAAAGTTGTCTTGTACCTCTTGAGCAGCGTTTTGCTTGATTTCACTGATGTTTTCTTTATTTGCATTTTCTTCATCCTTTATATTTTCCAGAAGACATAAATTTTCTTTTTCTTTGAGTAGCTCAATCCTTTGGGCTTCTAGGAATTTTTCAACATCAAATGACATTGTTCAATTATCTTAAAACACAATTAGTTTTTAAGCGTTTCAACAAATAATTTTGAACATTAAAATAAACCTTAACACAAACAAGCTTCCAAACAAGTGATTCAAATCAAATCATATCAAACAAAATCAAAACGACAAAGACAAAAGACAAAACCAAAACATAACAAAAAAACATAACCCTCTTTTCAGACTAATGTAGCCAATGAACTATAACCAGTGTTGCCAACGGGAAGTAGTGAAAACGCTCACATTGTGCTCACATATACTAAAAATAACGTCAATGTCATCGTATTGTTTTAGCGTTCAAGTTTAAGTTTTTTTAATTTAAAATAAGATATTCTAAGGTTTTTCTTCAATAATAATGGCTTTTGGTTTTGAACCAAAATATTCTAAAAAAGAACTAGAAATTAAAAAACGATGAGGAAAAAGGAAAAATTGACAAAAATCCTGAAAGACCTAATTCGCTTACATGGTGCAAGTGTTTCACGAAGATACGTGGAAATTCTTAATATAATTTCCTTTGTGGCACCTTTATTGGATCAAAAGAGAGTCGGAATATTATTCTTCTTCAATCTCATCTTTATCTTCTCATTAGGCAATAAAGTCGTCTTTAAACTATGTTCAAAGTCATTTTCATTAAAGTGTACACTACAAACCACATGGTGATGATTGGGATTAAAATTTTTCCGGTTTTTGCGATTTTTCCACGCTTTATATAGAGCTGGCTGTAGTTCTTTCTTCGGAAATGAATGCAACGATTGCAACGGAACACCAGCATTTTTAGGATTGTTATTGCAACCTTCCTTCAACACAGCAATTAGGCATTTTTAAATGTTATTACATAAATGAAACACTATCGACAAGCAACGAACAAATTAAGCAGAAGAACGTTAATCTATAAACGACATACACTAATAAATAGGCTACTACTAAGCGTGTAATGACACGCGTCACACGCCTTGAGCCAGCCAACACGCTCGTCGCGTGGTTGTGACGTCACGCGATGAATAGACAAAGCTTTATTTAAGTGTATCTACTTTATTATTTTGAGTAGCTATGCGAGATTTTCACAAGAGTTCTTAGAATTTTTTTCTTTATTTTCTGAAAGCAAGTTGTATTTTAAGGTCACACCCCTTTAAGTGGATACACTGTATTTTATGAGAAAATTTCATGAATCAAAAATTTAAATTTTTTGTCAAAAATTATCAAAACACCAGTTCTCGCATTAGTTACTATGCAATAATTTACACTAATACAAATTATCACGAAATTCCAATCTGATTGGTTCAAATCAACAATCAAAACATGTTAGTTTATTGTTGGTAGGTATGTCAGTTTTGACAGATGTATGAAATTCTCATCAAAAAAACGGCCACTAAAATCAAAAATCGACGTATCCGAGATTTTTTGAAAAAAAAATCAACCCTGTATTTTTGATGGATTTTATTCCCAACCTTTACGTATTACTAACTGTATTTAACTATGCTATATGATATCCTCTTCCGTTTCTTAAATTCTAGTAAAGTAATCTTTGTTCGTTTAAAGTTCATTATGAAATATATTCACCATAATTATTTACACAAACTAATAACTGGCCTTGCAGTCCTCTCGCGTTGTGTAATTTTTACTTACCCCGGTGCGAAATTGAATCCGCCAGAGGCAGCACCCCGCTGCAGCCAAAATTTTTGAATTTCCGTGTTTGCAGGGCTTACAATTCGAGACGAGATCTCAAAAACTACTTAATATTTTTTAGTGAATCAAGAGGATTTGAAAAGATAATAAAATTTAGAACAATGCTCTTGTTTTATTTTTTTTAAAAAAGCGATGGGTTTGGATGTACCGAGCGATAGAAATGATGCTTTTTTTCGAGTATTTAGGTCGTGGTATTTTCAATTTGGAATTTTTTTTTTCGAAAAACTAAAACAACAGCATGAATCTTTAGACGTTTAAGTATCTTTTATTATTTTCTAATCCGGTCAAAAAATATTACAAAATAAGTGACTTCTCGTCTCGGGAAATCAACCCTTTTTCTCAATTTTTAACGGCTTGTTGTTGGCCTGTTAAGGATGTCACTGTGTTAAAATTGTTTAAAAGTATTTTGAAGAAATGGATTCTTGAAACTCCCCGTACGTTTTTTAATAAACTAATAAATGGAAAACTCAAATACTTGCATATTGATTTGCATATACAATCTTCAGGTTCAAAAAATTCTTCTTTTAAAATAAGCAGATTCTCTCTATGAATCTTGTTTTTTGAAATACAAAGTGACAATGGATTTATTCCTCGATTTATTCAACATAGTGCTACTGAGGTTTTTCTTTTTTGTTTTTTTATTATTTATATACTTATAATTATTGTTGTAAATTTATGGAAATGGGTATGCTAAGGGTCAAATTTAGTTTGTTTTGTGTTTTCTAGTACTTCCTATGACTACATATTATTTTGTTTCAACATTTAAATGCGGTCTGCACAGGGCCGTCTTAAGGCATGGGCCCGCTGGGCCCGGGCCCAGGGCCTCCGGCGCCAAGGGGGCCTCATTGCTAAATCCACGCCTAATTTAAAATAAATTTTATGGAAAAAAGAAATTATAAGCAGGTAGCAGAATCATTCCTTAATCTACCAATTCTGCCATGATCAGACAAATCAATTTGATTCTTTGTGATTTCATCAGGTGCCAGAGCAAATGGAGGTAGCTCCGTAACGTTCCCTTGAAATAAATCTTTATATACTGATACCAATTTTCTTATTGCTACAACATTATTGAAATTTAGTAAAGGTGCTCGTCTATATAGTTCATGGACAAAATTAACGTTATCTCTGATAGAGCACAGGACATCTCGGATAATTTGTTGAGCCAGTGATGCCAACTCTAGGAATTTCTGCCTAGTTCTAGGGATAAATATGCAAAAAAAAATTGTCTAGGGATATAGGGAAATTCTAGGGGGTTTACTGATATTTTTAATTTTTCTTATACAATTTGATAAATTATAAAAAAATAAATAAATATATATTATACAGTATCCGCCAAAATAAACAGTACCTACCGAACATATAAATTAGGTACATCATTTATTTTTTTGAATCATGCGTATATGTTCAAAAAATGCATCATAGCGACGCAAAAGAGCTTCATAACAATTCTGCAAATCATTGAAAATATTTATTAAGAGTGGTTGCTGAAATTTTTCTGAGACTTGTTTCAAACTTAAGCCTTTATTCCTTCCAAATCCGTATGACCGGAAATAGTGCTTTACTAATAAAACTGTTCCTTAAGTTGAAAGATACATAATGACGAAGATTTTAACCTTAACTTAATGTCAACCTCAGAACTAATGCCAAGTAAGCAAAATATGATAAATGCAACTTGCGTACGCAATTCCTCAGAGCTCTAGATTTCGGTACTGTTTATTTTGGCGGATACCGTACAATATTATATATTTTTTAAAAAAAAAAGTGACCTTATTATTGGTTCGTCTGAGTAATCACATACAGCATACAACAGTAACATGTTTGTATGTTGTGAAGTGCTTTTAACCTTTCGTGTAACGTGATGTGTGTGGGGATTCCCGCAACAATCGCGTCGAATCAGAAGACAGTTGTTAACAGTCTGTCGTCACTAACTTAAGAACAATTCTCGGATGGTCTAGAACGGTTCTCTCAGTTCTTGCTCTGAAGAAGGAACTGTTTTGGGATTTTGTGATTTGCGGCATGTTCTGGTTGGAATCGGTTCAGAACTACATAGTATTTAAACATTCCTCAATTATTTTTTGTGCGCAAGCAGTTCTGCGCAATCCCACAACCATTCCAAATTCCAAATTTTGAACCAAAACAAAGCTACTGTCGCCACCCCACTAGTGCCGTCATAACAATGTTTTATTGCTTTGGAAATTCTATGTTGTTTTTCAAAAACTTGAGGATTATTGCGATTAGTTTTGAAAATATAATTTTTTTTCTTGTGAATTGCAAGTATAAATCACATATTACAATTATTATTTCGATCCTTGCGGATTATTCTGACTGCCGTGATGATCACGTTTTGGTTGATGTATGTATGTGATTAGTCACCCACATCAACCCACATAATCAAAGCAACTTGACAAAACATAAAATCTGTTTCGTGTTCCATTTTTCTTAACAGTGGCAAATCTAAATTGGGCTGGTTGAAAAAATTTCAGACCTGACTGAAATTTCAAGAAAAGCGGTAAAACTGTCACAATTTTATGACAAAGACATTAACAACGATGAATTACTTTTGGAATGTGAGCATTTCAAATCCTATCTAGCTATGAGAATTTTTTTATCCATATGATAGTCATCAATGCAAGCGTGGAACGTTCATTCTCCAAACTTAAAATAGTCAAAAGCGAAATTAGAAACCGTATGAGCCAGTCGCGATTGAATAACCTAAGTTTGATGAGTATTGAAAGCGAAATTTTACAAACCATTGATTTTGAAGACATAATTCACAATTTACGATTTTGCCTCTGTAAAATCTAGAAAACGACCTTTGTAATTTGTAACTTCTGATTTGTTATTTTTCCACAATATACATAAAAAGCGTAGGTAATGGGCCTCCTTTTACAGATAGGCCCAGGGCCTCAAGAAGTCTTAAGCCGTCCCTGGGTCTGCATAACTGAATAGAATAACAAGAAAAGTCTGCGCACAAGTCCGTCAGGACTTCAGCAGAAATGTTCTTATTTATTTTCCTTCTGGTTTCTAATTACATAGCTCGGAGTATTATTGTTTATATTATTTTGTATTTGAATTTTGGTGGGTACAAGTTTTATGTATGCCTCTGTGTAATAAATAAAAGAACAACTATATCCAAATTTAGAGTTTAGAACCTGTATCGCTGAATGAGGGCAAGGAAGGATAACTCTGCGTACAAGTCCTAGATTAGAACTTCAGCAGAACACTTCTTTCTGTTTATTTGTGAAGCATAGCCTAGAAAGCCTGGAAATTTTACGTAAGGGGTACTTACTTATTTTGTTTTGTTTTATTATACTTATTTAATTGTGCTTATTACTTATTATGTACTTATATTATGTAATTATTTTTGTAAGGGGAAATTGATGGAAATAATTTAATAAATAAATAAATAAATAAACATCTAGGAGGAGCTCCAGAACAGCTCCGGGGCGTTACGCGCTTATTCCTTTCGAAAAGTCTCAAGTG